GTTTTTTGTTATTAAAGGGGGGGGGGGGGGGGGTCGATACACGGACGCCAAGTATCAATCTTTTATTATACTACTTGGTAGAATAATAAAATCAATTTCTTTACAATCCACTAGATGGTGGTGTTGAGTTTTTTTCTGGTGAGGTCAGCTGGGTCACCTTCAGCATGCAGTAAGTTAGTAAAATAGAGAGGGTGGCATCGCGGAAAGTTATCAGGAAAGCCCCGTCCGCGTTTAAATCGGACTTACTTCGGATTTGTAAACAAGGAGGGGATGTAAGTAGGGATGCACCGAAAATATAGGCTACATATAATAATAATAATAATATATATGGTGCCGCGCCGTGCCCCGCCCCGTCCCGCCCCGCAGTGTTCAGCGCGCATGTTTCACTCTCCTCGTCACTGCGCGGTTTGACGCTCCGCTCAGTATTCCGATCAAAATCCGCTCAAATTAGGGATGGGCGTATCGATCCAAAGTATCGATATATCGATACTCAAACAAAAAATATCGATACTAAGGTGTGTTTTATTTACCAGTGATTTTGTTAATTTAACAACAACAAAAAAAATCATACAATATGCATTGAATTGGACGAATAACCTGTGTTAGCGAGTAATTATGTAGGATAGAACTATTTTCCTGCTCATCTGGACACGTAAATGTTGCAAGTCAGAACTAATCAATCACAGAGAGCGTTCACTCACTTCTAAAAGTGCATTCAAACGGGGCTGCGTTTCCCAAAAGTATCATAAGAAAGTATTAAAGCTTTTGGGAACGGCAGTCCTGAACAATGCTTATCAGAGGACAGAAGGACAGAGTTATTTCACAATAAACAAACTGAAATTGTAGCCTACATAGTTTGTGCAATTACAGTTATTTAAATTGAACGTTGAAAGATAATATTGATCATGTTCTATTCTGTAATGTTAATAGAAATCATACACTGTCAGAATAAAAAGGTTGCATTTTATGCATGCAACAGCCTGTCACTGGCAGTCCCTTATGAAAATGAACCATGGTTTTACTAAAGTGACCATAGTTCAACTGTAGTATTTGTAGATTTTAATCACGTGTAAACAAAAAACATATTTGAACCATGTATAGACAAAAATATAACCTAATAAGTTATAATTAAGGCGAATTGAATGTTAAAATGCGTTTTAAACAACGTTAAGTGCTTATCATTACCCATTTTACTCTTAGTAATTTAATACATTTCATAATGAAACATTTTAGTTCAGAAGTATCGAATCGATATCGACGATACTGCCTTGAAAAATATCGGTATCGTATCGAAAACAAAATAAGTGGTATCGCCCATCCCTAGCTCAAATAATGCGCTGACAGGAAATTTCTATGCAGTATACTTGTTCCGGTTTGCAGTAGCATTACTGTGCTGTAACATGGTGTAGGCTAGTTCAGCTGTACTAGGGCAACGCTCACGCTGCTAAAATGATGCTACCTTCAGTGACGCTCTGCTCTGCTCATATGCTCTGATAATAATAGCTTTGTAGGACTATACATTATTTGGATAATTAGTCAAAAAACAACAACAACTTATATCTGATTCTGATACATATAAGTGAATAAAAATAATTTATTGATATTTAATATTAAGGTAACACTTTTCAATAAGGTTCCATTAGTTAATGTTAGTTAATGTATTAACTATCATGAACGAAAAAAGAAAAATACATTTATTACAGTATTTATTCATCTTTCTTAATGTTAGTTAATGAGAATACAGTTATTCACTGTTAGTTCGTGTTAATTCAGAGTGCATTAACTGTTAACAAGCTCAACTGTTGATTTTAATAATGCATTAGTAAATGTTGAAATTAGCATGAACTAAGATTAATAAATGCTGAAGAACTGTTGTTCATTCATAGTTCATTATCTAAAGTAGTAAACTAATGTTAACTAATGAACCTTATTGTAAAGTGTTACCAATATTAATATAAATTCTGTCCATTTTTATTGTGTTACTTTCAGTAAAAGTGTGGTTATTTTATGATGTAAGACTACATGTTTTATTTAATTTAATTTAAATTTAACAGTAATTTACTTTCAAATGCCCCAATTGCTGAAGGGTCTGCACAACTTTAGTACAATTTCAGGTTGCCCTGTTCAAAATACCTGTAGTAGCACAGCAGTGCATACCTGTTTACATTAAGGTGGACTAGATTAGGCTGTAATACAAATAGTTGAGTTTGCCAGGTGCATACAACATTTATGACAGGTTTTCATGAAAGTGTTGGTCAGTTTGTCTGCTTGACAATCCCATTTTGCACTGCAACAATAAAACTGAAGTGAGATAAACGAACTGAGAAATGTTTATTTTTAGTTAAAACTTTGAAATTTGAAGTTGGAAAAAGGTAGTAAATTGCAATATATCGCAGAATATCGCAATATATTTAAAATCACAATAATATTGTATCGGGGCACAAGTATCGTGATAATATCGTATCGTGAGGCCTCTGGTGATTCCCACCCCTAATAAACACTGTTGGTTACGTCAAAAGTGAAAGTAAAAAGTGAGAGAAAACGGATGGTTGCAGCTCTTAAAGCGACAGCAGAATAATAGTACTGAACATCCTGCCGCTTAATTTCTTTCTTGTGCTGAACTGAAAAGAAGGCATTTTGAAGAATGTGGGTAACCAATCAGTTGCTGTTCCCCATTGACATTGACGGATGGGAAAAAAATACTATGGAAGTCAGTGGGGACCAGCAACTGTTTGGTTACCCACATTCTTCAAAGTAACTTTTATGTTTAACAGAAGAAAGAAACTCATTCAGGTTTAAAACAACTTGAGAGCAAATGATGACAGAATTTTCAGTTTTGGGTAAAACAACAAAACGCAAAGAGAAAAATCACTCACAGGTCTTGACTGAAGAACTTTAATACAGTTGCTTTAATAAGAATCAATGTATAATTTAAACAGTGAAGTATATAGTTTTTTATTTTTAGATTTGTTCATTCAATTTCTTGAATGCTACTGCTAAATACACCTACCATACCTGAAAATAAAGCAGTTTCTTTTATTTGTATATTATGTGTATTTGTACTGTGTATCTTTTTTTTTCTTTTTTCTTTTTAATAACAAAGATAAAATAATGACACCGATTTTTATCTTCGCCCACTTTGGTCTAAATGTCTGCCTTTTTTTTTTTTTTTTTGCCTTACAAGGCTTTGTTTTTAAAATAGGTAAATTAGTTTGGGTGTACTGCTCAGACAACTCACAAAATAAAACCAACATGACAAAGAATTGTGATTTTAAAATCGTGAATCATGATTTTCCTGAAAAAAAATCGTGATATGATATTTTTGCCATATGGCCCACCCCTAGTACAAAGACCTCTTATATGCCAAAAGATCAAGGCAAGTTTGATTTCTCATGCCATGACCCATTTAAATATTAAATATACCCATTAAATATAAATATTAAATATACCCATTAAATATTTAATTTTTTTAATTATCCAAATAATGTATAGTCCTACAAAGCTATTATTATCAGAGCATGTGAGCAGAGCATAGCGTCACGAGAGGTAGCATCATTTTACCAGCGTTGCCCAGTACAGCTGTACTACACCATGTTATAGCTTAATTGCAAACAGGAACAAGTATACTAGTAGAAATTTCCTGTCGTGCGTTATTTGAGTGGACTTTTCCGGTGAGCATGAGTGGTACAAGAGTGGAGTGGCTTTTTCGGCTCTCATTTTCGGCCGTTTTTCTCTTTTGGCCAAAAACCGAAAATGCCTTAATACATATGCATTTTATATAAAAAACATGCATAATAAATATAATTATTATTTATTTACATATGATTACTAATGTACAAAAAAACTACTTTTTAAATATTTAGATATAAAATAATTTATAATTCATATAAATGTTGTATATAAATATTCTGCTAAATGACTAAATAAATATAAATAATTGGGATTCAAATAATATGTACAAATAACCTAGCTTTGATCATTTAAGTGTGTTTTAAGAAACGTATGACTATTGGTAATAGTAATGTATGGGTATTATCCTTTTCAGTCCACTTTTTAATATATTTAGACTTAATTAGGTTTATATTTAATTAACCATTGATTTTAATTTTTGATAGTAATGTATACAAGAAATCTAGATTTGACTCTTTCCATGTTGAAACTTCCCTTTGTGCATTGTGAAATAATTTATACCGATTCTTTCCCCCCCTCCAGTGTCCTACTATGAAAGGTAAGGTGCAGAAGATTCTGACCTGGCGCTGGAGTGAACCTCCTCCTCCGACCCCTGTGCCGCGGCCCAGTGACCTCTCTGCTGATGCGCCTAACCCCACGCCATTAGCTGGTCGCCCTGAAAGGGAGTTCTTCGTTAAATGGCAGAATATGTCCTACTGGCACTGCTCCTGGGTTTCCGAGCTGCAGGTACAAGCACTGGCTCTTACTAGGGTCTTAAAATGCCATTTTGAATCCAGCTTCAGGCTGAATTTACACTCAATTAGTTCACTTGGTCCTAGTTTTGGTCCACACCTTCTCTTGCTCTCTCTAGTTGGAGATGCACTGTCAGGTAATGTTCAGAAACTACCAGCGCAAGAATGACATGGACGAACCCCAACCCATAGACTTCAGTGGTGAGGGAGATGAGGAGAAGAGCGACAAGAGGAAGAAAAAGGACCCCACCTATGCTCGGATGGAGGAGAAGTACTACCGCTTCGGCATCAAGATGGAGTGGATGGTGATTCACCGCATCCTGAACCATAGGTGAGATAAGCTCAAAAACTTTAGATTGAAATGATTTAGATCAGTTTCATGGCTTTGCTCACATCATATCTGTTGTGTTTTATTCTTCTCAGTGTGGATAAGAAGAATAACTGTCACTACCTCATCAAGTGGAGGGATTTAACTTATGATCATGCCACCTGGGAGGCAGAGGATATGGATATACCAGAGTTTGACACCTACAAACTGCAATACTGGAACCACAGGTATACATGTGCACGGACGCTAACACGAAACCGCATTCGCAAAGCATTTAACTTCAAAATAATGTGAAGTAACGTAATGCTGTTTAATGTATATTCTTATTTAAATAATAATTTTTGTAATTCCTGACAGCGTTATTTTAGTATTATTTATGTACCGTTATAGTTTCTACTACAATTTGAAATTAGATTTTATTTTTATGTTTTTAAGTTTTTATTTTAATTTTAGTTTTAGTGATTTTGTTATACTTCAGTAATTTAAATTTTTTTATATTACTATTTAGATTCAAATTATTTTTATTTATATATTATTCTAGTTTATATTAATCATTTAAAAAGGCCTTTTTATATTTTCAGTTTTTCACCAACATTTTTAAATGGCAAATGTTTTTAATAGTTTAACCCTGATTCCTGCTAAAACAGCCTTGATTACATTAGTATGCAAAAAGGCCTTTTAAAGGTAGTAAAAGCTATACAAAAGATTTAGAAAATTCAATCTTCAATGAATTAAGAGAGAAATGTGTAATCTTTAGGTTCATAGACCTGAAAATGCACATACTCATCAGGTTCATCTGTTTTTGTTTTTGTTTTTTTCTTAAAGGGAGTTGATGATGGGTGATGAAGGTAAACCAGGAAAGAAAATTAAGGTCAAAGGAAAGGTGCGAAAACTGGACCGACCTCCAGAGAACCCTGTCGTGGATGTAAGTCCGCTGCGTTGTTTTCATCCTACATAAAACACCACACCTATTAGACACAGCTGCATCATTCACTTGCTCAAAAATGGCTGAAATCCATTTCTTATTCTCCTGTAGCCCACTATTAAGTTTGAGCGTCAGCCAGAGTATCTGGACGCTACAGGCGGGACCTTGCATCCATACCAGCTGGAGGGGCTCAACTGGCTCCGCTTCTCCTGGGCTCAGGGAACCGACACCATCCTGGCAGACGAGATGGGTCTGGGAAAGACTGTGCAGACTGCTGTTTTCCTCTATTCACTGTATAAAGAGGTGTGCAATTTTATTTTTTTTAATGGAATTGAACAAAGAATTAAAATAGGATGTGCTTTATTAGTCTTCGTAGACCAAGAATAACTACACTACTGTTTAAAAGTTAGGGGTTTGTAAGATTTAAAAAATATATTTTCAAAGAAAGTCTCTTCTGCTTACCAAGGCTTCATTTATTTGCTCAAAAATACAGTAAAAATAGTAATATTGTGACAATATTACAATTAAAAAAAATATTTGAATATCTTTTATAATGTAATTTATTCCTTTGGCGAATTGGATTTTCATCAGCCATTACTTCAGTGTCATTTGTTCCTTACTATGATCAATGTTGAAAACAGTTTAATATTTTTGTGAAAAACTGATCATTTTATTTTCAGGATTCTTTGATGAATAGAAAGTTCAAAAGAACAGCGTTTATTTGAAATATAATTTTTGGTAACATTGCAAATGACTTTTACTAACACTTTTGGTCCATTTTAATGCATCCTTGCTGAATAAAGTATTAATTTCTTAAACAACAAAAAAATCTTACTGATCCCAAATTTTTAAATGGTAGTGTATATTTTCATGCAATGCTATAGCTAAATAGTATATTTTATGTTTTGTAAGTGTAGAAATGTTATGTAAAAATTAAATGTATTGAATGTTACATTACTACCTTCGTACAGCATATCCTCTTCAGTTTTAAAGTGCTGGTGTCTTCGTTCTCCAGGGTCATTCGAAGGGTCCATTCCTGGTGAGTGCCCCACTCTCCACCATCATTAACTGGGAGCGAGAGTTTGAAATGTGGGCCCCTGGTATGTATGTCGTCACATACGTTGGTGATAAGGACAGCAGGGCTGTCATCAGAGAAAACGAGTTCTCCTTTGAGAACAACGCCATCCGTGGTGGCAAGAAGCCCTCTAGGATGAAGGTTAGTGAGAACTCTGCTTTCCATTGAAGAATCTTAAGACACTTGAATCCATATATGAGTGATTGTTTCCTATTGATCATGCAGAAAGAAGCCTCTGTGAAGTTCCATGTTCTCTTGACCTCCTATGAGTTGATCACTATTGACACGGCTGTTCTGGGCTCCATCGACTGGGCTTGTTTGGTTGTTGATGAGGCCCACAGACTGAAGAATAATCAGTCAAAGGTGAGACCAACATAGATTATGCAATAATTTGAGTATGATGTAGACTGACAATGTAGTTACATTTTTTTACAAATGTATATTACATTGTTCATTTCTAAAGTGGTTTGAGGTTTTAATGTTTTGCTGTGGTATTTTTATGTAGTTTTTCAGGATCCTCAACAACTACCCACTGCAGCATAAGTTGTTGTTGACTGGAACTCCTCTACAGAACAACTTAGAAGAGCTTTTCCATCTGCTCAACTTCCTCACACCAGAGAGATTCAGGTGCGTTTTTGATTCATTTCAAATCCAAGGATCATGCAGGAACTTGTGAGAAACTTTCAAAGATAGATACTGTGTGTGTGTGTGTGTGTGTATATAGTCATGATATTAGATAAAAATAGAGAAAATATATACATTTCTATAAATAACAAATATACAACAATTAATATAAGGTACATACATTTTATATATATATATATATATATATATATATA